TTCACCAGTTACTGTTCTCAGTTTTGTTTCCAATCAAATTACATCGGTCGCATCGATGAATTTATTCATCGGTGAATAAATTCACCGATGCGACTTTTGACGGCTCCCCTAAGGTTGGGAAATTCATCTTCGTCAGCAGGATTATCTTAGACAAGATGAATGTGCTGACCTTAACTAACCTTACCTAAAATAATAGTGGTAGCTGAGATGAATTTCCTGACCTTACCTTACCCTACCTAAGCGAACACCAGTAGTTTAGACACAGAAATTGCTTTGAATTTCCTCACCTTACCTCACCGTGATTAAGGAAGTTAAAGTAAGGAAATTCATCTTAGCCAGCAGGATTATCTTAGGTAAGGTGATATAAGGTCAGCAAATTCATCTTAGGCACCACTATTATCTTAGGCAAGGTGACGTACGGTAAGGAAACTGATCTTAGGTACTTAGATCAGAAAATTCACCTTAGCCACCATTGTTATCTTAGATAAGGTGAGATAAGATTAGGAAATTCATCTCAGCTGCCACTATTATGTTAGGTAAAGTGAGGTAAGGTCAGGAAATTCGAATAAATTACCGCTATTATGACCCATCTTTTTTCTCTATTATGACAGTATTGATTTTGCCACAAATAACATCTACTTTTTTATTTGACTAATATGCACAAAGAAAACCTGAATACATGAAAAAATATTTTCTTAAGAACACATGTATTTTTGAGACACATTTAGAAAAAGGCATCTGGCTTTATTTAAGTATTTAATACCATCGATAAAAAGATCTTATCAATACTAAATATTGTTTTAACTTATAATGTAATAAGATTTTAAATAGTAAAATTATTTAACAAAATATTTGTTTTATCAATCGATAGCTAATGGAATTATCCTGCTCTAAAAAGCAATCCATTTTTTATCACATGCTGCATTATCTTTTTATAACAATTCTACGAATGGGTCATAAGTGACCCCTTGGTAGGTAAAGGGTTAAATCTACTTAATTTGAGCAGCACTTTTCCAAGAGAATTGTGTCGTTTAAAGTCGGAATAGAACTAAGATTACTTATTTGGCATGAAGCGTACTTGTCTTAAAACTGTTTTTTATTCCTTACTTTGTGTTTTTATTGTTTCGATCTTCGCCCTACACAGCTTCTCGGTAAGGATTCTGTTATAGCTAATGAATCATTGGCTTTGAATTGATAACGTCGACCAATAGACGTATGTAAACATGCGCTTAGATATTCTTCGTTTCTTCCACTATCATTAATTTTTGTTAGCGATTTTTTGAAATATCCAATAGTTAAATCATATTGATACAATTTTTCGTAACATCTTCCGACTAGAAACACAATTTTTTCTGGAATAATCATATTATTTTTATGCCACGAATAATATTTGTCTTGTATTTCTAAAACGTTTTTATGATGTTTTGGTGAATTTTGATATTCATACTTATGTAAATAGCATTGTCCCGTACATAAATGTAAACTTAAATTTGATGCATCTGTTTTTAGGAAGTTTTCTCGTTGTATTAAAGTTTTTTACAATATTCAATGCATAAATCATTATGCAAATTATGTGCACTAAATGAATTATTAACATTTTCTAACTGTTCAATGATATTCCGCATTCTGTCTCGTACATTTGCCCAGTCACTATTTAAGCAAGAACTGCTCTTCATATCCCAACTTTCACAGAATGAATTACCTGGCATATAGGAGAGAGGCATCTTTTATATTTTTTTAGGGCCCGATCCCATCCGAGTTGCTCACTGGCATATAAACATTTTTACAGAAAAATATAAGAAAAAACTAAGAGAATATTAAATTATCTTTTTGAAAATCGAACTTATTATAGACGAGGTACTTAAGTAAAAGCAAAAAATTTTACTAAAAAAAAATGATTGTCATCTTACTGG